AAATTCGATTCCCGTACTTTTGCACCTGAGTTATAAAACTCCCGTATTTTTTGTCATTTACTCATTTTCTCCTAGGAGATAGGGATTAGGGAGTACTTGCATTTTCTTCCTTGAAAGATGCCATTTTAAAATATCTAAAATCAGCAAGACTTACGGTCCTGCCGCCTACGGGTGCATTTTCTGACCATTACATGGCTCCCTTCGTGATAATAATAATGCACAATCGTCATAGTTTACGTCAAAGTATAATTGTATATTTATATATATATCAGACATTACCGATCAATTCAAGAACAAACCAGTGACCTATAGAAAACCAATAAAATTACTCCAAGTCTATCCAAGATGGAGGCTACTTTCAGCTTTCTTGCAGTCTGTGTTTTCTTGGCATCCTTAGCCATTTTATTATGGGGAGTGATGGATTGGGTGTGGTTCAAGCCCAAGAAGCTGGAAAGGTGCCTTAAACAGCAAGGCTTTAAGGGTAACCCTTACAGGCTCCTCTCTGGAGACATGAAAGATGCTCTCAACATGCTAACTCTTTCCAATTCTAACCCCATGAATCCCTCTGATGATTATATAGCCCCTAGGCTCATTCCCTATTTCCTTCATCTCATCAACAAATATGGTAATCATCAATAGTAACACTTTGTCTAGCTTCTTCATCTTTCTTCACCTTCTTAACCGAATTGATGACTTTTTTGATACATAAACGAAAAACCCAATCAGTAATAATGATTATTTGTAACTCTGCAGGTAAAAAATGCATTGTGTGGATGGGTCCACGGCCTATGGTGTTTGTCATGGATCCGGATTTAGTGAAAGAGGTTTTCAATAAGCATCATCTGTATCAGAAGCCCCGGAGCAACCCGTTGGGAAGGAAGCTGGTGCAAGGGCTAGTCAGCCTTGAGAAAGATACATGGGCAAAACACAGAAGATTAATCAATCCTGCCTTCTACTCTGAGAAGCTCAAGGTAACTAGTAGCAGGTTTCTTAGTTAAATGCACACATTTTGCACTCCCGAATCGGTATAATTGTGATATTTCCTTTACTAATTCAGCCACGCCTAATCGGCTTAGGTCCCGACTTAGCCCGTCTAGGGGCTAGACTGGTGTCTACCACTTAGAAGTTGCTTAAATTCTTTTTAGAGCATTAAGAGCTTGCTTGTTAAATGATTTAGAAAGGAAGGGAAGGGGGCAAGGGGATTGGTATTTATTTTACTAGTTGATCTCCATGTAATAGTTTTATACTAGAACTGACTGTACAATTAAAAAGATCATGTATTTGTAGTAATTAGTACGTTTCGTTCATCAACAGCTTATGCAGCCGGCTTTCTTGCTGAGCTGCGGTGAAATGGTGAGAAAATGGGAGGGGATTGTCTCCGGAAAAGGATCTTGCGAGCTGGATGTGTGGCCTGACCTTCAAGGCTTGACGTGCGATGTGATCTCTCGCACCGCATTTGGGAGCAGCTATGAAGAAGGAAAGAAAATTTTTGAATTACAAAGAGAACAGACCAAGTACTTCATGGAAGTTGTGCGCCAAGTGTATGTCCCTGGGTGGAGGTAGTTAAACTTAGCATGCGATATAGATAGTTTGCTTGTTTTCATTGAACATTAGAACATGTTAGTTTATTAATCCATTGCAGATTTTTGCCAACAAAGAGGAACCGAAGAATGAATGCCATTGAGAAGGAAGAGAAATCATCCATCCGGAAGATTATAGACAAGAGATTGAAGGCGTTAAAGGAAGGAGAGACTAACAATGAAGATTTATTAGGCATAATGCTGGAATCCAACATGGAAGAAATCAGAAAGCAAGGGAAAAAGGAATGCGGGTTGAGCATTGAAGAGATCATTCAGGAGTGCAAGTTGTTCTATTTTGCAGGGCAGGAGACTACATCAGTGTTGCTAGTTTGGACTATGATTCTTCTCAGCAGATTTCAAGATTGGCAAACTCGAGCTAGAGCTGAGGTGTTGAGTGTCTTTGGCCATGATGAGCAGCTGGATTTTGAAAAATTAAATAACCTTAAAGTTGTAAGTATGAGACCTTAAGGTGCTAATAGTGTTCTTTCTAGCTTAGTAATTGAGCTCTTAAAATTCCGATATCCGTGTATCATTATTTCAGGTGACAATTATTTTGTACGAGTCCTTAAGGCTATATCCACCAGTAACTGGCTTAATGAGGACCGTTGTAGAGGAGGCAAAACTTGGAGACATAGTTTTGCCTCAAGGGGCAGTGGTATCATTACCGATACTTCTGCTACATTTTGATAGTGAGATATGGGGAGAGGATGTTAAAGAGTTCAAACCAGACAGGTTCAGTGAAGGGATAATGGGAGCAACAAAGGGCAAAAACGCCTTCTACCCGTTTGGTGGGGGGCCTCGAATATGCATTGGTCAAAACTTCGCTTTGATAGAAGCTAAAATGGCTATGGCAATGATTCTACAACGCTTCTCCTTTGCGCTTTCTCCTTCATATACTCATGCTCCTATTTCAATGGTGACCACTCATCCTCAACATGGTGCTCCCCTCATTATGCACAAGCTCTAACGTTTTACCTATTATGACCTGTTAGATAAAATTTCTATGGAATTCTCTGCGATGTGAAGAAGTTATAAAGGCAGTTTTGCTCCACTTTCTATAAAAACTCTGCGATGTTGGAAAACTTGCCATGTAAACAATAATACACTCCCTTAGCCTGTTTTCTTTGTATATGACGTGTTTACCTTTTTTAGAAGTATTTTATGATTTGCTCCACTTTCATAGTTTTGCAAGCTTTACCAGTTTACCACACCGAAAGCATAAATACCCTTACTTTAATGTTAGGAAGGGGTAAACGTCGGGATGTAATGTTCAGTAAAAAGAGGTGATGATCGAGGGTTTTCTGGCATCTTGAGGAAGCTAGGATTTCTAAACTCAAGAAAGCCATAATGAGAAGCATCAAGGTAGCTAATCCTGAAATGTTTGCATATTTTGACAGTGATAGGATTGTGCAATACGCGTCACAAAAGAACTAGTATTGACAATAAGGATGTTTTCTTTTGGACTGTTTTCAGTCCCAGACCAGACCAGACTTAAACAGACCAGACCAGACCAGACTTAAACAGACCAGACCAGACCAGACTTAAATAGACCAGACCAGACATCCGTAGTTATAAAATACACAGAGACCAGACGTTTACCAGACCAGACCAGTTCAGACCAGACCAGACCAGACTTAAACAGACCAGACCAGACCAGACCAGTTTGGGTGGAGGGATTTTTTGAACTAGTATTGAACACAGGTTGAAACACATTTGGTCTCTAGGTTATGTTTGGGTGTAGGTATTTGGAAGGGAAGGTGAAGGTTTTAGATTGCTCAATTTATGCCCAATTATATAATGCTTCTAAAAATTAACAGAAGTCTTCGTAAACCATCTATCCAAATGGTACATACTACGTATATCATAGTATGGTCTAAGCTCTCTGAAGCCTTCTATCCAAACATTCCTAATGGGATGTGCAACAGTTTTTACATTAAAAAAAATTGTATGTAAGCCTATGCACTTTTTTATTTCCAAAATAAGAGTAATATGTGTTCCATCTTCCTATTTTATTAAATACTCGTATGTAATAATAAAATAATAGTTTTATTTATAATGAAACAAAAAAATTAATAAAATATTTTCAAATTTTAAATAAAAATGTAAAAACTTAAATACAAAACTCAAAAAATGTCATCTTGTGTAAAAATGCACATTTATCTGAAATTATCATGAAGATGACACTTTTACTATTTGAAAAAATCAACTTTGCTTTCAAACATCCCACCATGATGACATTTTCTTTGGTAAGTTGACATTTTTTCCGGCAACCAGAGGTGGTGGTGCTAGAAGGTGGCGGAGGTGGCGGTTGAGACATGTATTTTTTAACATTTTTTTTTAATTTTTTATATTTTGTTATTATAAAAAGAAATCCTATGAAGCATGACAAGAGAAAGGATAGGATAAGAAGAGTTACTCCTATTTTGAGAATTTGAACTTTATACTTCCATGTTTGAATTTTGCTTTTATTTACTCCAGTTTTGGGAATCACATCTTTCGACTTCGATAGTGAATTTGTAGTTGTTAGTTAGTTAAAAAGCAAGGTTTGAAATTGTTTTAGATGATCATTTTTTTTTTGTTTGTAGTTTAAAGTCTGTTTCGTAACACGAAAGTTGACTGAATAAGTAATGTTAAAATTGGTGAAATTCTGACTCGAGTGACTGGACTGACTGAATTTGCTGAACTTTGAAAAAGATATTAAAATATATTTTATTAATGAAATAAAGAAAACATTATATGGAAATAGTTAAAAGGATGATCTACAACTTCAGACAGAATTGTAATTCCAACCTTATTTATTTTGATTATTACACAATTCATCGCACAAAATAAAAAATTTGTGTGGCTAGTGAAAAATTGATCGTAACGCTTAAATTCCCAGCTCAAAGTGTTCAGTCTTTTTAACCACAAATTAAAGAAATTCAACAAAATCAACAACTTTAGTCATTTTGGCCCGTAGTGAACAGAATTCATATGAAATAATTATAAATATTCAACGATACTTTACAAAATGTGATTTCCTATGTTTAGCGACTATCTAAGTATCTTAGTCATAATAATTTAAGTTGTTTTTTATTAAAGTGACTAAAACACTATAGTATAGTAATTATTAGTCATATTTTTGTAAGTAAGTTGCACATTACTTGCATTTCCATTGCTTGCACATTAGTCATAAATATTTTTTTTAAATGAAAACCTCAATCCACATTGCTTGCATTTCCATTGTTTTTTCGTCAATAATTAATCTCTATTTTTTCCCTAGACTTTTTCCCTATTTTGTTCATCTCATCAACAAATACGGTAATAATACTCACTAATGTCTCCTTCTTCCTACTTTTAATGATGACCTCAGTTCATTTCTGCGGTTGAAACCCGAGAATAATGAGCATTTGGAACTGCATACATGATACATACTGCACAGGTAGAAATTGCTATGTGTGGATGGGTCCACAGCCAATGGCGTTCATCACGGATTCTGATTTAGTAAAGGAGGTCTTCAATAAACATCATCTATATCAAAAGCAACTGAGCAACCCGCTAGCAAGGAAGTTGATACAAGGACTAATCAACGTTGAGGAAGATATATGGGCAAAACACAGAAGATTAATCAACCCCGCCTTCTACTCTGAGAAGCTTAAGGTACATAACTACTTAATCTAACACATACTTCCATATACAACACTGCTAGTAGTTAGGTCATTGTCTACCCAAGAGAACACACTTTTCAGAATGTTAATTTGACTTTATTGTAACTAGAAAAAGAATAGTAAATTCTTTCTTTCATCAACAGCTCATGCAACCATCTTTCTTGCTAAGCTGCGGTGAAATGGTGAGAAAATGGGAGGGGATTGTCTCTAGAAAGGGATCTTGCGAGCTGGATGTGTGGCCTGACCTTCAAGGCCTGACGAGCGATGTGATCTCTCGAACTGCATTTGGGAGCAGCTATGAAGAAGGAAGGATTATTTTCGAACTCCAGAGAGAACGGATCATGCACTTGACAGAAGCTGCACGCCAAGTTTATGTACCTCGATGGAGGTAATTAATTAAGCTTACTTATGAGATAGAGAGTTTGTTTTCCTTAAACACATAGTTTTATTATGTTTATTTTATCTTTAAAGTCTTTTGGGGGTAAAGTTTATGTTCCCCTTTGTATATGGTTTTATATAAAAAAAACTAATTGATAAGAAACACCTGTCTCTTACCTCACTAAATTTGGTGATTGACTTTCATGGTTAAAAGACACATAAGTTTATTACAACTCCAATACAGATTTCTGCCGACTAAGAGGAATAGAAGAATGAACGCCATCCAAAAGGAAGTAAAGTCATGGATACAGGATATTATAGGCAAGAGGCTGAAGGCAATGAAGGAAGGAGAGAATAACAATGAAGCTTTATTAGGCATATTACTGGAATCCAACTTAGAAGAAATCAGAAAGAATGAGAAAAAGGAGTTCGGAATGAGCATTGACGATGTCATGGAGGAGTGCAAGTTGTTCTATTTTGCAGGACAAGAGACTACTTCAGTGTTGCTAGTTTGGACAATGAATCTTCTCAGCAGATTTCAAGATTGGCAAACTCGAGCTAGAGATGAGAAGCTTGATTTTGAAAAATTAAATAACCTTAAAAGTTGCAAGTATGAGTCCATAAGGTTCTATTAGTCCTCTTTATAGTAGTCCATAAGGTTAAATTTAATATCGTCACATCATTTCAGGTGACAATGATTTTGTACGAGTCCTTGAGACTATATCCACCAGTAGCCAGCTTGATGAGGAAGGTCGTAGAGGAGACGAAACTAGGAGAGATAGTTTTGCCTCCAGGTGCAATGTTGTCATTACCAATGCTTTTGCTACATCTAGATAGTGAGATCTGGGGTGAAGATGTGAAGGCGTTCAAGCCAGAGAGGTTCAAGGAAGGGATAATGACAGCAACATTGGGTAAAAATGCCTTCTTCCCATTTGGACTTTTGGAGGGGGCCCTCGAATTTGCATTGGCCCTCGAATGTGACAGAGTTCTGTGTTCGTTTTCCGTCAAGTTCACTGTGCGTCGTCACCAGGAAGTTCCGCAGTCGGCCATCTGTCCATTGGAGCCGCCATCGGCCTGAAAGCTGTCACCAGAAGTCGCTGCTGTCCGCAAGGGAGTTGCTGTTCGTTTCGATTCTCGCTGGCCGCTTCTCGTCCGTGAGGAAGGACGCAGAATCTGGAACATGGAGCTGAAGAAGCTGGACGCGTGGTGTGCTATTCTATCTGTGCGCATAGGAAATTAAAGCAGGATGTCACGGGCATAGAGTCTGGCGCAGCCCACAGCGCCCGTGCGGCGTCCCGGGGTCCCTCACCCCGCGGACCAGCCTTACTCTCATACGGGACCAGACTGGTTTCGCCCTGCCTTGGGCTCATCAGGGGAACGGCAATAGCTCCCGACCAGTTGTGCCTTTATGTCCGCCTCCGTCTCCTTCATAGTCAAGCCCCACATGCCCAACTCGGCCAGACCTCAGCGTCTAAAGGCAGAACCCTCCTTGACGCTATTGCCTCCCACATGCCTCACCCGACATGCTAGCCAGTCGGTCCATCCCATTCATTGAGCCTAACACGGTCACGAACAACGGTCCGTGACATTCTCCCCCACCCAAAATCTAGCACGTCCTCGTGCTAGGGGAGACGACTCTGCCCGAGGATCGCCATGCTTAATATTGTCAACGCGCCTCATCACCAGGCCGCTTCTCTCTCAAGCAGCCCGGCCGAGCTGGTGGCCACTCGAGTTCCCATTCCCTCAGGAACCCATCCGCCCCTGCGGACCATCAGGAGTGGAGCCGTCATCAGCACGTACCGGCCCTAAAGCCACCATGCTCGCATAGTCCTCATCCCTCACGAGGACCCCACCATAACACGCGACAATATAAGCATGACCCGCTCTGATACCACTTGTCACGGGCATAGAGTCTGGCGCAGCCCACAGCGCCCGTGCGGCGTCCCAGGGTCCCTCACCCCGCGGACCAGCCTTACTCTCATACGGGACCAGACTGGTTTCGCCCTGCCTTGGGCTCATCAGGGGAACGGCAATAGCTCCCGACCAGTTGTGCCTTTATGTCCGCCTCCGTCTCCTTCATAGTCAAGCCCCACATGCCCAACTCGGCCAGACCTCAGCGTCTAAAGGCAGAACCCTCCTTGACGCTATTGCCTCCCACATGCCTCACCCGACATGCTAGCCAGTCGGTCCATCCCATTCATTGAGCCTAACACGGTCACGAACAACGGTCCGTGACAAGGAGCTGTATTTGGATTTGAGCTGAACTTAGGCCGCATTTTGGCTGCACTTGGACTGGATTTGGACTGGACTAGGGGCTGGATATCTGGTCAAACCTAGACACTGCTGCAGCGTCAATCGGACGCAGGGATTTGACGCAGGAAGAAGGAACGTAGGTGGTGGGAGCTTGCTAGACTACTGTTGGGTTTTGGGCTGCTCACTTATTGGGCTAGAGTGGACTTGGATCTGGGTTGCTGCTTTGGCGCTGGGCTGGAGTGGGCCGCTGACTTGGGCTGCTGGAGTTGCTGGTCAACGGTCAGGCACTAAGTCAACGCCGGTCAAAGACAGTCAACCGCCAATCAACAGTCCCAAAAAATCGCAATTCTAAATTGGGTGGGTAAGGTCCAAACACTCTCCAAGTGTTTGGCTATTTTAAGTCTTCTTTATCCCAAATTCCAGTTTCTGTAATTCAAATTGTTAGAATTTGTTGTTGATTTAATATTTGCTAGATTGTATTTATTTGTGCTACTGTTTAGCCCTATAAATATTAAGTTGTTTTTCTAGCTAAAGTTGCATTTTATATTTTCTTGTTTAGTTTTTGTGTGTGAAAATGTCTGCTTTTAATCAGTATGGAATGGTTCCATTTAATGGAAAAACTGATTTTAGCATATGGAAATAGAAAATAAAGTGCATATTAATTCAACAAAAATCATATAGGGCCATTAGTGAGACCTATTTGGCTTCCGATACGGAAGAGAAAAAAGCAGAAATGAATGAAAATGTTTGTTCTACAATTTACTTGAACTTATCTGATTGTGTGCTCAGAAAAGTAGGAATTTTAGAATCAGCCAAATCTGTGTGGAATGAACTTGAAGAGCTTTATAACGTAACCTCTTTGTCTAACCGGATGTTTTTACTTGAGAAGTTCTTCAAATTTAGACTAGATATGTCTAGGGATATTGACGAAAATCTAGATGTCTTTACCAAACTTATTTATGATATTAAGTTGTGTGGTGATAAGCATATAGATGATTATTCCCCTATTGCTCTTTTAAATGCTATTCCTGATTCCTTTGGTGATGTGAAATATGCTATTAAGTATGGTAGAGATAATGTGACTCTTGACATTGTGGTAAATGATCTTAAGAGCAAGGAATTAGATTTAAAGCAGATGGGTGATGGTAGAAAATCCGAGGAAGTTATGCAAGTGAGGGGTAGAGAAAATAATAGTAGACGACATAGATCTAAGTCTAGGTCTAATTCGAGGTGTTGCTATTATTGTCATGAATCTGGTCATTTCATAAGAGACTGTGTTGGTCCCAGTTTAGCAGACTAACGATCAGCTAGATGAACATCATCGATAGACAGAAGAGAAGGATTTCATATAATGATATAAGATTTATCGAGAACAGTGAAACCTTCTTTCTGTAGTATCGAGAAGTAAATTTGGCAGCATAAGGCTAATGTGTATTGATCGATATCGGTACCTGTACACAAGGCGCGTATTTATAGGCGCTGTACAGGTTACCGATTTAGGTAAACCTTGGAAGTTGGGCCAAGGCCTTTTTGGGCCTTATTCCCTTTGCCTTATTTGCTACATAATAAATACTAATCTAATACCATAAATGGTATAACTAGTCTACTTTATTTAAACAAGACATTACAGACAAACTTGACCCACAATAAAAGTTCTAACAATCTCCCCCTTTGTGGTCAAGTGCCGTCTTGCTGGGTTTCTTCACTTCTGAGCTTTGTAATAGTTCTTTCTGAGATTAAGTGCGTGCTCATAGTTTCTGAGTGAGTTTCTTCTATCAAGTTGTTTCTGGATAGCCTGTAGAATTCTGTCTATTCTGTGTGCTTCCTTTAATTCGGCATCTGTCGCATCTGCATACTGTTGCTGTCTTTCTTTGAATGCTTCTCTGATCGGTTGCAGTTTTTCTTTCACAACCTTCAGGGTTCCGTCACAGTACTTGTTGATTTCATCAATGAATAGCATACGTTTCTCACCATTATGATTTACATAGATAAGCGTGATTGGTCTATCAAAAATGTAATACTCAGGGAAGTCCTCAAGTTCTTGTCCATACACCTTTGGTTTTGTGAGATTTGTCTTTGGCATGTTTGTTTCAAGCGCCATCTGAAGATCATGAGAGGCAAAGAATTTGATTTGTCTGAGCATAAAGCGCTTGAGTGCATCCAGCCCATTTTGTGTAGTTGTGTCACGAGTGCCCGGAATTTCTTGAAATGCAAGATACATCTGATATATGTCATCCATTTTTAGCATATAGAGATCATTTTCCTTGCACGTGAATTCTGTTCCGTCAGACCGTTGTAGATGGTAGACAGAGAGTTTGATGTCTTGGGAGTTTGTTTCACCCACGTTGAGAATAGCCCAGACTGGGTCTTTGGCAGTTTGAAGTTCGTGCTGCCAGACTTCTCTCTGTTGTCCCATATAGTGATGACTGAGTAGAAATAGCTGTCCGCCCTTGTTTTGTCCTCGTAGATGGTTAAGACCACAGATCTTCAGGTCATCCAGTTCTCTGACCTTATCCTCTTTTCGCCAGATGTTTTCTCTGATTTCTTCTTGAAAGGGGGCGTTGATGTCGATCTTTTCCCAGGGCTTCTCATTTCTGGGCATTTGAGCCGCTGTTTGTCTAATGATTGACTCAAGCTCCTTGGGTGGTGTCTCGTAGTTTTCTCCCTCCTTGAGTTCGTTTCGATCAAGTAGAATCACGTCAGTAGCGCAGTTGACTAAGAGATCTCTGAGGTATGTTCTTCGCTGTGCTTCATCTACATCTGTCCAGAGTTCAGACCATTTGTTATGCACCAGCATTTCCTCAAGTTCATCGTGCATTTGATCATTGTAGTAGCTGGAGGAAGCCTGTTGCTGCTGTGAAGACACGTCTGGCGTAGCATCGGGATCCTGGTGAGACTTGCAGGGATCCTCAATTATCTCAACACGATGCTCTTGCGCAGAGACCAGACCTCTATACTTTGTTACATGCGGCCAATCCTCCCTTGGTTGAGACTGGGTGACTCCGGGATCCTCAGGATTGCCCGTTGACATCAGTTTCGAACTAGGTTCTAGCTGATGGCCTGAGTAAGAAGATGTACTCATGGTAGCATCATCAGGACTTCCATTCCGTCCTTGGTTAACATCTATAGGAGATGCACCTCGGGATGTTATGTCTAGCTCGACCATGCTAGAGAGAGTGGCTAGGGATTTATGGCTAGCTGAAGTAGTGGGTTGCTCATTGGTAGAGGTAGAGGGTTGGTTTGGCTTTGAGGGTTGGCTAGTAGAAGCAACATGCTCAAGTATCCGCTGGCGCTTGTTCTCCCCCTCATGAGAATCCGAATCATCAGGATCCTCATGTGAACGTTTAGCGCCACGGAGACTGTCACGGCAAGTGTTCTGTGTATCTAGAGCATGGAGAAGGGCTTTTTGAAGAGGGGTGAGGTTGCCTTCTTCCACGTCTAGTATACGGTCGTAGATCTCAGCTACAAGATCCTCGAAGGGTACGGTTGTTAGGTTAGGTTTGGTCGTTGTAGGGGAGAATACTAGTTCTGTATCCTGGGTTCCCCTTGATGTGGATGGTTGTTGGTTTTCTATGGTTAAGGGTTTGGAAACAGGTATGGAAATGGTTGGGGGCTGTGATGATTGGGGTTTGGATGGTATATTCTGAACAACTGGGGTACTTCCAGAGTCTTGTGCATTAGCGGTTATTGCTTCATGCACCCATGGTTTAATGGTAGACTCTAGAAAGCTGTTCAGATATACGAGAATGTCTTCGGGGATAATGGTACCAGTTACAGGGGTTGTAACTGTTGTCACAGCATCAGTGAAGACAGCTGATGTGTGGCCTGCGTTCAATGATCGAGGCATTGTTGGCGTAGCAGGGCTTCCGACCATCATAGTTTGCACTCCGGTCGTTGCATTCAGGGTGAGTGCACCTGTATGTGCAGTGAATAGTGTAGGTGTCCTAGAAAAATTCAAAAATGTAGGAATGGTGACACCTAGACTCGAAGTGATAGAACGGATGGGGGTAGTGGTCCGGGGCTGTTGACCACTAAGTCTCTCAGCAGATTCGGAAGGAATCAGTGAGGTCGGTGTAAGTTCCCCTTGAGATATTGAAACTCCAGTCTGTTGGAAGACTGGAGAGTGGATGGGAGATGGCTGTGCACGCGCAGTTGAACCAGATGCTGCGACTTCTACCCGGGAACTGACAAGGTCAGCTCCTGCTCCTAGGGGCGTGGTTCGGTCTATGGTGACAAAGGTGTCGCAGTCATCGTATAGTGCCAGCTCCTCCTCCACTGTACTCTTCTTTCTTAGCCTCTTCTTAGGCTGTGATGATGCAGATTTGTCGCTGTTGTGTTTGGAGCGCTGCTCACTGATGACAATGCCCTTAAGTGGTCGGGACATGTGAACAGCCTCTTCATTGTCCGATGAGGAGTCGGAGTCTATCGGAATGGCTCTCTTTCCGGCTCTTTTCCTGTTGCTGATCAGAACTCCCTCCATGTCATCATCATCATCTGCATCATCATCATCGTCATTATTCTCCTTTCCCTTGGCCATGCTATCGGAGGCCTCACCACCAGCCTTATTAGAAGGGGCCTGGCTTGATGGTTCATCGGCAGTGTCCTCAGCATTGATAGGGTGGCCCTCAGCAGTCTGGGTCCTCTCGGAAGAGTTACCAGACTGATCATCATTAGGCCGGGTTGCCACTGGTTTCTGTGGCGGGGCTCTCTTCTTCTTACCCTCACTCGCTCTCGGCTTGGTTCCCGGGGAAGGTCCAGCTGGGTTTTGCTGAACCATAGGGACCGTTCTCTTCAGCGACTCTTTGTAGTCGATGATTGCCTTATCCCTCGGATTTGCAAGGTCAAGTAGAGAGTCCGGGATTGGCAGTGCTTCTGACGTATTCTTGTCCTTCTGAAAGTACTTGAGTTTGGGAGCAGTGAAGTGTTTGTCTTCCTTACGCTTAGGGATTGCAGGGGTGGCTTCCATCATGTTGTGGATCATCAGCGCCAGCCACCGAGCGTAGGGGATTGTGTTTCCCTTGTTGTTCTCCTTCATCTTGACCTGGTCCATCAGCTCTGTCCAGAAGAGCTGTGCCATGTCGTACTGTTTGTCAAATGCGATCCCATGGAAGATTTGTAAGATCTGCTTGTTGCACTTGTCATGTCCGGCGTGCTTAGGAGACAAGCATTTGTTGACCAGGCCGAACAGACTCTTCCATGGGTGGGGCAGGTTGGAGATAGTGAAATTTGACAGCAAGGGCAGCGGGCTGTCATAGCCTAGATCCTTCATCCCCTTGATCAGTTCTTCATTGGTAGGCAGGGATATGTAGTTCTGTAGGACTGGGAGCTTCAGTGTCTCCCTGATTGTGGAGGGTGTGAGCACCACTCTCTTGTCATTCAGCTTGGTCATGATTTTTGACCTGTCCTTTTCTG